GCCCAGCGGAGCGGCCGCCCCGTTTGCCGTCGTTCGGAAGCTCGGCAGGCCTGGGGCGCGCAGTGGCAGATAGAAAATGGGTGTGTTTACGATTTAGTTTTTGTCAGGATGGATTCCGCCTATTATCTGCCCCGCTCATTAATGCGTTTGTATCACCCACTACTACTCATTCCACTTTGTTTCTTAGGATATAAAGGTGTCTTCGCCACGCGCCCCTCAAGGGCTTGCCGAGGAGACACTCGGAGACCTTAGTAACAGCCGGGAAGATAGTTTACACACCCTATATGGCGAAGCTGGTACACCATGACCGGAGCCAGAGCCTTCTTATCCTCAGTGGGTCAGACTGTCATCTGTTGCTTCAAAGTGTGTCCTGCCTTCATCGATGGAGATTACGCATATCATCCTTCCTCCGTTGCGCGACTCTGCGATAAGCTCAGGTAAGGATTTTACGTTAGCTCCTGCTGTCGATGAACTCCGGGGTCGACGAATTTGGGGACGAGACACTTCGCGTGCGATCGGGAAAGGTCGGTTGCCCAGTAACCAGTTGGACTGCTCACCCCAGGGGGCGGCTCAGCTCCCACTCACACACACGCGCGTCATTTTGTAACCCCACCCCACAGCCTACCGCTGCCCGGCTGCCGACGGGTGGCGCCAGACGATGCATAGCGCAGACTGCACTCACTGACGGGCACCCACAGGCAGGCGCCTATGGCTCGCCGAGCAGGCCGCCGCCGCCGAGGCTGCGCCGCGCGTCAAGCCTCGGGGTGTAGCCTGCGCCGTGCGCTCGTGGCGCGGTGGAGCTCGGTGCGTCCCCGCTCGAGCAGGTCGTCGTGGCACTGGTAGCCCGCCTCGAGCAGTGCGGGGTACGTGTGCGCGGCGCTCGCGCCGAACGGGCGCGCCTGCACCACAAGCCTCGCGACGCCGGCGCCGAGCGGAGTGCAGCGCCATGCGTTATCCGCCGGTGTGCCGACCTCTGCTGGCGTGATTGCGACGACCCGGTGCTGCAGCCGGCCGCCGTGAAAAAGAAGCACGTCGCCGCTGAGGAGCGTGAGCGTCACCGCGCTCTTCGGCTCACGCGCGGCAGGGCCACGCCGGCCTGCCGGGTCGCACGGCAGGGGGATGTACTGGAAGGCGGCAGGCGCGCCGATGGAGAGCGTTGCGCACCAGCCAGCCTCGGCCGCCATGTCCGTGTGCCAGTGCATGTTGTCCGCGAAGCCGTAGGTGATGCCAAGCACCGAACCCACCTCGTAAAAATAAAAAGTAATAAATAAATATGAATATGAATATGAATATAAAATCATGCATATCATACGTATAAGAAAATCAACAATAATAATTATTGCTTCAATTCGAAGTTATTATTCGTATCCATGTGAGTATGCATTATGATTCGTATTTACCACCGTCATATGTTATAGATATTTTATATTTTATATTCACCTGCAGCTCCGAGAGAGGAGGCACGCGCAGCGCGGCCCGCTCGGCCTCTGGTAGGTGCGTGAGAGCCGCTTCTGCGAGGTCCGCGTCCCACAGCCGATCGCGGATGAGCTGCAGGGCGTGGCGTGAGAGCTCGAGTGCCGCAAGAGGAGGCGGCTGGTCGTCAGGCGGCACAGAGTCTGCGGACAAGGGGAGG